AGATCCTAAAGGCATGTCTCTTTGTTCACATCTAAACGCTCACGATATTCAAATTAAACACTCTAAAATGAGCAAACGAATAGGACGATCTACAAACAGAGTTAGACTATGAGACGATAACTCATATTCATAGGAATAAAAACATGCTCTTAAAAACTCAAACTAATTATCCATTCATAACAAGCCGCAAAGCGGCACGGACTCGAAGCTACACACGACTAGTCCAAAATACCATTAAACAGCCTACGAGGCAAGTCTCGAGGCTGATACAAAATACCATCGACATCAACATGCTCGGCAATCTCTACACATAACTAGACCGTAAAGGTCTCACTGGAAAACAGGTCGTACGAACCATAACTCCAAAACAAACTACGAAAGGCTTGATCACTTCAAGAAGGTACGTAGGCAGCCTTTACTAGGCGCAGCCCCAATCCTACCGCTTTCCATTCCAAGGAGACTGGGAAGACCACTTTCAACAGAAATTTCCAATCATTAATTCCGCCTAACTTGCCTAAAATTGTCGAACCACTCGCTAGAACCTCACGCTAGAAGCTCACGGTTCTAATGAGCTGGGGGGCAAACTGTTGGGGTCAAAATCGGTCACAAGGGAATCAATGGCTAAAAGTTCTTAAAAATGAATAAGAACATTTCTCAGAAAAGTAATTTTCCGGAAAGAAACCTTTGCAGAAACATTCTTCGATAAAACTCGCAAAAGCCTCAATCGAGCCGCTAAAAACTAAACACAATCGTCCGTGAGAAACGGACAAATATCCAAACCAGCCACATACCAGATCAAGCATGGCAATCGGACCACGCACGAGACAAACTCGGTCGCTGCATAGTGACAAAGTCCGAGCCAAGCTCGGTCGCTACGTAGCGACCGAGCACGTACACGCTTCGTCTCTACATAGCGACCGAGCACGTACACGCTCGGTTGCTACATAGCGACCGAGCTCAAGCCAAAGCTCGATCGCTACGTAGCAACTGAGCACGTACAGGCTCGGTCGCTATGTAGCGACCGAGCTCAAGCCAAGCTCGGTCACTACGTAGCGACTGGGAACATACACGCTCGGTCGCTACGTAGCGACCGGCTCATGCACAGTCTAGGTTGCTACATAGCGACTGGATTCTCCCAAACATCAATACAACACGAATCCATGCATTCTCGTCTACTATTTAATGCTATCTCATGTTGGCCACGGCTTAACCACTCATTGTTCCTTATCAACCGGAGTCATCATTCAAAGTTTATGATAAAAACCACGGAAAGTTTGTTCTTATCGAAGAAACCGTAATATACGTTTCAAGTCGAATAACGGCCCAAAGAGGCCTAAAACGCGACTAGAAGCCCACTTACAATTTCTTAACCAAAACCCCATAAACACTTTGCCGGTTGGACTTGGTTGACAAGAAAAGATAAATTTCAACTTTCCGCGGATAAATGTGAAGTTTCCGAAGACAATTATGAAGATCGGGAAAGTGGAATATCTCCATTTGTGAGCTATGAGGCTTAAGGGCAGAAGGGGAAAAGCATAAACCGACGTACGAGGGAGTATATGAGGAGTCCTAGGCGAAAGGCAAAAAAAAGAAAACTCGTAGACTCATAACTCTCTGCCAATCAAGTTTTGTGTGTGTTTATTTATTATTTTGTGTGTTTGTATGGTGTGTATTTAAAGCTTCATAATTTTATTTTCTTTAATTATATAAATTTTAATATTTTAAGAAAAATAGGTAAGTGTCTAAATTAAAAATAAAATATATTAGAATTTATGTTATTTTATTTATTTAAGTAAATTACAATCGAAAATATATTAATATGCAGTAGTTATATTGCAAAAGATAAAAAAGTATGAATTAAAAATGGTGGTGTAAGGTGTTAAATTTTAAACAAAACTATTGTATAAGTTAAAAATGAAGTGGGTGTTGAATAATGAGGTGAAAGAGAGAGAAGATGATGTGGAGAATAAAAAGAAAAAAAACAGGGTGTTGAATTGTTGACTGTACACTAAAACCTTTAATTAATAATGTTGGGACTTTGAAACTTTGTTTTTTCTATCAAGCAGATTTAGGGTTAGAAGGAGAACCCCATCTACTCGGCTGAAAGCATGGACCACATTCGCTGCCCAACACACAATAAACGACCAAAGCCCAACAGAAATGAAAATAAATGAAACTCATCGTTTTGTGCAGACATGACACGTGTCAGCGCGAGGAAGCTTGACTTTTCCTAGGTGGAATCAGACGTGGTATTACCAGGAGATGTTACATATACTTAGCAAATACATAGGCAAAATATATTTATTAAAATAAAAATTATATATTATTCCTTGTGTAAATGTGTTTTTTCCATTGGACCACATGGTTTAATCTGATAAACAAAGTTGAAGTGCATTTTTAATTCTCTGTGTATTTTATATGGGTTATTAGATTTAGAAATTGAATTGAATTAGAAGAAATTGGAATTTTCATTAAATGTTTGTGTTATTCAATCATGGATTTTACCAATAATTTGAATTTCTAGCGTTATTGAATTTCGTGATTTTCTAATTCCATTAAATATTTGTGTTTTTTAATTTTTAGTGGACTGTGTGGTAATTGCATTTGAATGAAAACTTAGTGAAAATTTCTAAAACTGTAAAGAACCAATTCTTTCCCTTTAGGCCGAGATTTGAAAATAATTCTTTATATTATTTATCTAGCAGATATATACATTAAAATTGTTGATCATTAGTATGAGAGATTTGAAAATATAATTTTCATTAAAATTTACAAATTTTTTCTTATCTTGATAAATGATTATAAAATATATTTTTTTCATAATTTATGTTATCATGAAACTGTCTTATCCCTAAATGGCTACATATTCACATAGTGATACATGATTAGTTTGATTACTACTTTTCATTAGTCAATTTTTTATTCAATCTTTTAAAATGATTTTTGCCTTTTATATAAAATAAAAATGATTAAAGCTTTTGTTTTCAAAGTTTTATAAATTTTTTCTCTTCATTTAAAAAAAACAGTTCATTAAATTAAAAGGAATAGATATGATCAAATTTATTTGGATTGTTAAAAATCTAAAATATTAGAATTAGACAAATGCATTAAAATCTTTATCAAATCTTTTAAAATATCTTAAAAGTTATTATTTTTCCCTTCCATTTTTTTTAAAAATCAGTTAAGTTCTTCAATTCAATACCACTCATTTAGACATTTTGAAATGTGTGAGCGGATTTGACTATTTAAAAAAATGTTTTTTGGCACTTAAATTGTGATTGGAAAATGCATCGCGGTTACTGCAATGCCACTTTGAAATCCACATTTTAAGTAACCAATTACAATCTTAGTTTTACAAAAATATGAAAATAATTTTGTTCTTAAATCTTAATTGATCTAAAGTAAAATATTTAATATTCTTTTTATTTAATTCTACTGGTGTATCTTAGCTCCATCGAAGCAGATCTAGACTAGCCATATGTTAGCAGCCTATGTTTTTGGTTCATATGTCGATTTTCTATTCCTGGTGATGCCGGAATTTTAATGGGAAATTGCTAAAACTAGCACTTTCATGATACCACATTTCACTTTTACATTAACCAACTTTACACTCAAAATTTTGATACCACAAAGACTATACTACCCTTCATTATTCAAACATAAACCTAAACCTATTCTTTCATCGCCAACGAGAGATTCAGATTTCGGGGAGATTCAAGGACTCTGGCGAGATTATCCGGCGAAATTATCCGGCGAGATTCAAGGATTCCTCCGAGATTCAAAGTTTCCGGCGAGATTCAAAGATTTCGGGGAGATTCAACGATTTCTGGGAGATTCAACGATTTCGGGGAGATTCAACGATTCCGACAAGATTCAACGATTCCGGCGATCCCTCTGTGTTATTCAACGACTCCGGCTAAATCGATACCTAGATTTACATCAATCGAAGATGAATAGCGTTGGGACGAACGATCTAGAAACGGCGGCAAAGGTACAACGTTTTTTTAGCTTGATTTCTTAATCTCGTCGAAGAGCATATGGATATCTGTGTGTTTTAGTGATGTTCTGGATCAGTTTTCTGGGAAGGAGATGAATATTATTTCATGAATTTTATAAATCTCTTATTTATAAGGCTTTATAAAATTATATTTAGATGAACACAACGTTTCTTTAGCTTGATTTCTTAACCTCATCGCAGAGCATGTGTATAACTTTTGTTTTTAGTGCTGTTATCGACCAGTTTCTGGAAAGGAGACGAATTAATTTTCATGAATTTTATAAATCTCTTATTTATAAGGCTTTATAAATATTGTATTTAGATGAACACAACGTTTCTTTAGCTTGATTTCTTAACCTCATCGAAGAGCATGTGTATAACTTTTGTTTTTAGTGCTGTTATCGACCAGTTTCTGGAAAGGAGACGAATTAATTTTCATGAATTTTATAAATCTCTTATTTATAAGGCTTTATAAATATTGTATTAGACGAATTTTTTATGTTTTCAGGGTACTATGATTGAGATTTGTGCTGTTTGCGGGGAATGGAAACTTGTAAATGGAAATCACTGGGATTTCATAACCGATGATGAAATAGGATCTTCCATTAGTATGATTCCTAAAGGCATTAGGTTCAATGATTTAGTTGTTTATTTGCTAGAAGATTTTGAAATTGAGTCCAACAATGTGAAGCTTGTTATGCATCTTGTTCAAAAGTTAATTTTGGAAGTAGAGATATACCTCCAGTATTTATCAGGAATGATCGACAAGTTTCGACGTACCTGAATAAATTACAACAAAATGGAGGTCTTCATCTTTGTTTAACTGTAAAGGCAAGTACACATATTTAGAAGGCTTTATAAAACTATTTTACAAGATTCATTTACTAACTTTTATGTTTTAATGTTTCAGAAGGAAACACGGAATGAAGTTTTAATTACCCATGATTTGCCAAATGCTGGAGGAACACAACTATCACCATTGATTATGCCAAATCTGACCCAGGCACTTGATGAATTGTCCAGTAATCGCAATTCGCCTATTGTTCGAAGTAGTAGTGCATTTGAGGTACTTTCAACACTGTTTTATCTTAATACTCATACTTATAAGGTATTATAAATTGTTTAAGAAAGTAGATCTTTATCTAATTTTGTAGCGTGGAACACATTTTTTCTCCTTGAGACTGAATGTAACAATATTTCAGAGAGTTGATGAATTATCAGGAATACAACAAAATCATATTTAGAAGGCTTTATAAAACTATTTTACAAGATTTCATTTACTATCTTTATGTTTTTATGTTTTCAGAAGGAAACATGGAATGAAGTTTTAATTACCCATGATTTGCCTAATGCTGGAGGAACACAACTATCACCATTGATTATGCCAAACCTGACTCAGACACGTGATGAATTGTCCANAGGAATACAACAAAATCATATTTAGAAGGCTTTATAAAACTATTTTACAAGATTTCATTTACTATCTTTATGTTTTTATGTTTTCAGAAGGAAACATGGAATGAAGTTTTAATTACCCATGATTTGCCTAATGCTGGAGGAACACAACTATCACCATTGATTATGCCAAACCTGACTCAGACACGTGATGAATTGTCCAGTAATCGCAATTCGCCTATTGCTCGAAGTAGTAGTGCATTTGAGGTACTTATCAACTCTGTTTAATCTTAATACTCATAATTATAAGGTATTATAAATTGTTTAAGAAAGAAGATCTCTATCTAATTTTGTAGCGTGGAACACAATTTCTCCCTGAGACTGAATGGAACAATATTCAGAGAGTTGATGATTTATCAGGAATACGACATAATCATTATGTATCTCCTTCAACTGGTTTTATTAGTAATAAGGTACATATAACTTTCGGAGTATAATCAATATCTTATAATCAGTTATAAATTCCATTTTTAACTCTTTTTTTTTCCTTTTAGAGGGATTGAACATGATGGGTCCTGCTGTAGATGGATCTGAAAGGTCCAAATTATCATCTTTTTCTAGCAGACGCGGTCAACAAAATTTGGGAGAAGAATCACATTCTTTTTCAGAGATCTCGTCTCCAACTTGTGCTACAAATCAATGTGATGACACTGATGAATTGTTCTGCGGGAAGTTTTTTAAGGACAAAAAGGAAATGAGCACGAAGTTGAAGTCGCTTGCAGTTAGTCAAAGCTTTGAGTTCCGCACAGAAATATTCAGACAGGAAACGTTATATGCTTACTTGTGTTGAAGAAAAATGTAGCTGGAGTTTTCGTGCAAAATCAGTGAAAGGATCTCAGATGTTTGTTGTGCGTCATTATGTATCTAAACATACATGTGACACTTCTCTGAGAAGTGTTAAACATCAGCAAGCTACTGCGAAACTGTTGGGAAGTATGGTCAGCAATCATTATGAAGGAGGAAAAATTGGGCTGAAACCAAAACAGATTATTGAGAAGGCTAGAAAAGATCATGGTGTTATGATTTCATATTCAAAGGCTTGGAGATGTCAAGAGCATGCCCAAGATCTAGCTAGGGGTACTCCTGATGACAGTTATGAAGCTTTGCCCAGCTGGTTTCACATGTTAAAAGATAAGAATTCAGGTTCTGTGACATTTATCGAAGTTGATTCTGTTGGGAAATTCAAATATGCCTTTTTGTCGTTTGGTCCATCTATCAGAGGTTTTAATCTGATGAGGAAGGTGATTTCCATTGATGGTGCCCATCTGAAATCAAAATATAAAGGGACTCTACTTGCTGCCACTGCACAAGATGGTAATTTTCATTTATATCCTATAGCTTTTGCTGTAGTTGATTCTGAGAATGAAGCCTCATGGAGTTGGTTTTTGATGTGTTTGAAATCAATCAGTCCTGATGAAGATGACTTGGTATTTGTTTCTGATCGTGCTCAATCTATTGAAAGTGCTCTTTTACAACACTATCCCCTTGCTCATCACGGAATCTGCATTTTCCATTTTGAAAAAAATGTCCTCGACAAGTTCAAGAGTTCAATCCTCACCCCATTGATTGTTGAGGCGGCTTATGCATACATCAAGGAGGATTTTCATTATTATTTTAATGAGATTGAGCAAGCAGACCCTGAAGTAGAAGACTATCTTCGTAAAGCAGACTTCAAGAAGTGGTCACGAGCATATTCTTCTGCTAATCGTTACAACATCATGACATCAAACTTGGCTGAATCCATTAATGCTTTGCTGAAAGTTAATCGTGAGTATCCTATAGTCTGCCTTTTTGACTCTATTAGGGTAATTATGACTAGGTGGTTCAGTGAACGGCGTGAGCAAGGAATTCGTCATATCCATCCTGTCACTTTTGAAGTTGGAAAGAAGATGAAAGAGTTATATGATAAAAAGTCACGTTGGCTTGAAGTCTTTAAAATTAATGATTCTGAATTCGAAGTTAAAGGTGATTCAAGGGATCAGGTTGTAAATTTCCAGACAAAGCATTGTTCTTGCTTTCAGTTTGACGTTGAGAAGTATCCGTGCGCTCATGCTATTGCCGCTGCCAAATCTGGAAACAAGCATGAAAATGACTATGTGGATGAGTTCTTCTCAAATGAAAGGTTCGTTTTTCTCATTCACTGTTTATAAAACTTATCGAAATTATAAGGGTTTATAACACTTTTATATATTCTTTTAATTTTATTATTAGGTTCATACTAGCATATTCATAGAGTATTTATCCAGTTGGCGATAAAGCATATTGGGATATTCCTTCTCATATAGCTTCTATGGTTTGCCGTCCTCCATCTACTCGCTATCCTAGTGGCAGGAGGAAAAAAAAAGAGGATTCCAAGTTCGTGGGAACATGGCAAAAATCCGTCAACATCCAAATCAACATCTTACAAATGTAGTAGATGTGGGCAGAAAG